TTTATTTATTTTAAGAGTAAGTTTATTTAAATTTATTTTATTTAATAACTTATTTTTTATATTAAATTTTCAAGATTAAAAGGTTAAATTGGAAGTTTTTAATGTATAGATAAAGTTTGTAAAGTTATAAAAAAAATTAAAAATTATTTGATAATTTATTTTATTAATTTAAAGTGATGAATAACTATAAAATATTTTATACGATGATTTGGATTAATAAAAAGGAGTATCAAATAGTTCTAAATTTTTAAAAAATTTGTAAACTTGATTTAAGCATTAATAATTTTTAATTCAATGGTCGAATCGTTGAAATTTGATATAAAACATGAATTGATAAGTGGAATAAGTAGATCCCTCCTCTTTTTCTTTATGTGTAATATTGTCGTATCATAACCTTGTTATTTGATTTGACAATTGTTGTTGAGAGCTCTGGGGCTGAGGGACCTTAAGGGCATGTTGGTCTCTGAAGGGTTGGACCAAAGATAAGTAGAACCGACTCAAGAAGGGTATAAAAGAAAATTTTTTAAAAAGAAGGTCATAACTTAAGTTTTTCAAGAGCTCTAAAGAGAAGTTAGAGATAGATTATCTCCTCCTTCTCCCTTCTTTCTTCTTTCTTCTTACTAGAACTTTCCTTTTCTTCCATTTTCTCAACTAATCCTAGTAGTTGTGGGCTAGAATTCAAGATTGCGAAAGCGGAAGATTCAAGTCAAAGTCGCAGGAAATTCCTTCTCTTCTCCTCTTATAAATTGATTCTTCGAGAGGTAAGAGAAGCTATGATTTTGAATTTAGGAGTGCATTATGTGTTGATGATGATCGAAATGAATTAATTAAAGGTATTAAGTGATTAAATACGAAGTTGAGAGGGTTTTGATGATGAAATCGTATTGTCCAGGCTATGTGAATGTTGTTTATTGTGTTGCATGTTGTTGGGGTTTATTGATTTTTAGGAGATTCGATGAAATTGGGTTCTACACAAGTGCAGAATCTGATGTCGCACCGGACGCACCTTCAAGGCGTTGAGCATGGTTCCAAAGAGAAGCCTGTATCTCACTCACGTTGGGTGCAAGATTAGTAGCACCAGGCGTGAGGATAAAGACTCATCTCAAGTTGAAATTACATTAGGTGTGGGTTGAACAATGTTAAACATGAAATGAAAGGATGGTCTTTACTCTTTTTCTAAGATCACGCCAGGTGCTGGTGGAGTAGCACCGAGCATGAGTCAAGTAAAGAGTTCCATGTCTGATTGGAGCCAGGCGTGAGTGTTACCACACTAGACATGAGACTAAAGGCACTCTCTACCTCAATCACGTCGGGCACGAGTGGTGCAACACCAGGCATGAATGAGATAGAGAGCTCTTTGCCTTAATAGCACTGGATGCTCAATGAATGGCGTCAAGCACGAGTTGTATGATTAGAAGTTGTTGTTTAATGATGTTTTATAGTTGATTGATGGTGAATGAGTGGTATGGTGTGAAGTTGATTCTTTAAATTGTTTGGCAATTAATTTATGATGATGTAGTAAATTGAATATGACGTGAAGTTGTGAGTTGTTTTATGTTGTCTTAAGTTGATATCTGATGGTGTTTATTCAAAGTGGTGAATGTTGCAAAGATGTATGATGTTTACACCATTTAAGTTAACATGTTGTAAAGTTGAATGTTGTTAAAGTTGATAATGTTGAATCAAAACTGGGATGCCACCGAGCTCCCACCACAGGTCGGTGAGCCTCTCAAATCAGTGAACAACAACGAGGGTACCACCGAGTTCCTCGAAGTCAAAAACTGGGATGCCGCTGAGCTCCCACCACAGGTCGGTTGAAGCCTTAAAATCAGTCAAGCTTGATCGAGAGCCGCCGTCGAGCCTCTCAAATCAGTGAACAACAACGAGGGTACCACCGAGTTCCTCGAAGTCAAAATCTGGGATGCCGCCGAGCTCCCACCATAGGTCGGTTGAAGCCTTAAAATCAGCCAAACTTGATCGAGAGCCGTCGTCGAGCCTCTTAAATCAGTGACCAACAATGAGGGTACCGCCGAGTTCCTCGAAGTCAAAATCGGGATGCCGCCGAGCTCCCACCGCAGGTCGGTTGAAGCCTTAAAATCAGCCAAGCTTGATCGAGAGCAGCCGTCGAGCCTCTAAAATCAGTGAACGCCAACGAGGGTACCGCCGAGTTCCTCAAAGTCAAAATCGGGACCACCGTCGAGCTCCCACCATAGGTCCGTTGAAGCCTTAAAAATCAGCACAGTTTGATCGAGAGTCGTCGTCGAGCCTCTAAAATCAGTGAATGACAATGAGGGTACCGCCGAGTTCTTCAAAGTCAAAATCAGGATTGCTGTCGAGCTCCCACCTGTGGGCCGGCTGAAGCCCTAAATATCAGTCCAGCCTGGAGAGGCTGAGCTCAAAATATACTCCCTCTTCAACCAGCAACAAATAAAGGAACATATTATCACAAGGGAAACAATGCAGAAGCACCAAAGAGACGAAGAGAAGACCCGGACGAAATGTCTACGTCTTTCCTTGCCTTTGGAAAAGCAACACATTACTATTCCAAAGGATAAGTAAAGAGGGGCAGCTATAGACACCCAATTTCGTCCGGGGGGCACACAAACAAGGGCATGGATCTCTGTTACGAAGGGAAGGAGCTCCCGAAGCATGCCAACGAGAAGACAGGACTTCAGAGGGCCCAAAAGCACAAATTAAATATTTTTATGGGCCTGGAACGGGCCATTCCAAAATCGGAACGGGTCGTTCCAAGGTCCGGAACGGGCCATTTCGAGGTTCCCAAAAAGCCAAAAAATCCTAATTTGGAACGGGCTGTTCCGAGATTGGAACAGACCGTTCCAAACTCCTCCAAAAAGTGGTAAAAGCTCAATTGGAACGGGTCTGAAACGGGCCGTTCCTATATCTGGAATGGGTCGTTCCAAGGCTGTTCCAGACCAACTGTGTGTGCTTAATTTGGACCCCAGAACGGGCCGTTCTGAAATCAGAACGGGCCGTTCTGGTACCCCGGAACAGGCCGTTCCAGTTTCAGAACGGGTCGTTCCAGGGTTCAAATTAACCCACAACGGCCATATCCAGAACGGCCGTTCCGATTTTAGAACGGGCCGTTATGGACCCCCTTCCCGAAGTCTATAAATAGACAGTTGGAGCTCATTTTTCCAGACCCCGAAATTTCGTCCAGACCTCCTATAGCTCGAAATTTCTCTCTTTTTCTCTCTTCCCCTCTCTTTTTGTATCTCTTGAGATTTTTGTGAGGCATTGTAGTGTGAAGGGTTGCCAAAAAGCACCCAAATCTCCATCTTTGAATATTAATAGAGCTTGTTCAAGAGGTATTTCAGTTAATCTCTTTCTCCTTTTTTTTATTTATTTCTTCTTTATAATAAATATTGTTTTTTTTAACAAAAATAATCATGTAGTTATTTTATGATTAATTGTATAATTTAATTTTTAAGCATGTAAATAATTATTAATAAAAAGGATTTAATATTTAATTTATTATTTCTTATTACGTTAACTTCATCATAGGATACCGATTTAGGGCGCTGTAGGGGTGCTTAATACCTTCCCTACGAGTAACCGACCCCCGAACCCAATTCTGGTTATCAAGGCCATTATTGGATTTTAAAAAAA